ACTCGTACTCTGAGAATACGGGGATGTCGGTCAGTGTGGTTCAATGACCAGTGGATGCATATTTTCCTATGTTCGTTCTAAACGTCTGTTCCCTCTTCCGGGAGACCTTACATTAGTTTCTGGCAGTGAACAAGTACATGTACACAGTGTAAGGGGCTATCCGTAATTATCGATCTTTTTCACGAAGAGAAACAGTTTCGTTCATGGGTGGGTGGGTTGAGGAGAGTTTCGTTATGAAAAAATTAATATTGATAGCTGAAACATCAGTACATTCTAGTTGTCAAGTCAATATATTTTTCGTTTATCGGAGTGGGTGGGTGGGGGAGGGTCATAACTAAACTTTTTCGTTTCGTGAAAATTATCGATAATTCCAGATGGCCCCTAATGCACTACGGTGTGTGTGTGTGTGTGTGTGTGTGCGTGCGTGCGTGCGTGTGTGCGTGCGTGTGTGTGTGTGTGTGTGCATACATATACACCTCTCCCTGTGCGTGTGTGTATGTGTGCGTGCACGCGTGCATGTGCAGTGGTGTCATCACACGGCGTTTTCAAGAAATCCGTGAAACTATCAAGCAAGTCATTCTTGACACTATCTTTGAGCCAGAGGCCATGCAGGATTACATCGATCAACGGACTGGCTCTTTTCTCTCTGGCTTCAATCTTGGTAAGACTGGCTCCTCATTCAAACTTACACAGTATGGTGATCTTGTGCGCCGAAGAACGACCAGGCCGAGATTCTTAAAATACCGGACAGACTCATATGGACTACCGGACAGACGGCCCCTGTGAATGCACACACGTATCTATTGATAGCTGTGAATGGTAGTCTGGTAGTGTGCCGTACGCTGTCAACAGTATGGCATTTCTCCTCCTCGTTGTTGTGCTTTCTGAGCCTTTCTCACACACCTGTTGTAACTCGGAGCAGTGCCACAAACTATGCCGGGCATGGGTGTACGTGTGTGTGTGTGTGTGTGTGTCTGTCTGTCTGTCTGTATCTGTGCGGGGGCAAATACCTCTCCATCTTCTTAATGTTGTCTGTCTGTCATCTATCCATGTTGATATCCACTGATGTGCTTTCTTCCACGTGCTCGTGCAGAGGAACACATTCAAGCAATCATGCAGTCGGACGTCGTAGATGCAGTAATTGACAGGAAAATAGCTGAGCTGATGGCGCGTCCAGAGGGTAGGTTCATCACCACAGTGTATGTTCTTGTGCTCATTGACAGATCAAAGCGAAAGTCGATATCTCACTATTACTCTCAAGGTCTGTAAAATTCATAGTAATAACTAGGGCTCAAACGGTCACGGTTTTACCCCTAACGGTTAACTACTTAGCTAACGGTCGGTTTAACGGTTTATAACCTATAAGTCACGGCAATCCTGCGGACTCTTTTTTTAACCGTATATTTGACTATACTCATTAAAAAAATGTACCCTATTCAGTACAACGCACACATGTACATTCTGTTGCATGCTCATTCATACATACTCTCACACCAAGAGACCAGATATGACCGAGTTGACAGCCCAGAAATTGCGTACGCGTGCAACAGCCTGCGAAAGTGCATACTGTATAGCAGGAAATTTTCGGACGGAAATATTTTCGGACAAAGTCGAATTTCGACCTTTCGCACGGATTATATTTTCGTACAGTGCTGCATGCTAAATGCACGTGTTCGCAAGCAGTACCCATGTAAAGTGTACATAATTTCACATGAACAAATTTTAGTACCGAATTAATTTTAGTACAAAAGAGGCCGTGTACGAAATCGTACGAAAATAAATTCCGTCCGAAAATGTCCTGCTATACAGTACTTTGCAACGACCTGATACTTGAAAAATTGACTGAAAAGATACTGCGTAACCGTTATCTTTATCGGTTAACCGTTAATTCTTCGTAACCGGTCTGCAACCGGTTAATCGGACTAACCATTTGAGCCCTAGTAATAGGGACCTTTCGCATTTGCTACGAAACGAATGCGAAACGAAAGTTTGATTCGGCTCGTAATCGTTTCGTTGAAAACAAATTTCAGGTTTCGCGAGTCGTCATGCAAATGTGCATGGCAACTACGAATACGGCCGCGGGCGCCGGTAGTTTGGCGTACGGGTTTTTACACGCACACGTGCATGGATCATGGAATCAAGGGAAAAATGTGTACCTTGCAAAACATGTGTATCTATCCAAATAAATGTGTACCTGACGGATTCGGAGCGTGCCACGAATGAAGAGGCTTCCATTCGTGAAAACGAGTTCTCCGCAGGGACTCTGACGAATCCTCGAACCCAGGTGACGAATCAGCATTCGTTTCGTATCCGTACGCGGGGTGCGAAAGGTCCCTAATAACAAAAACACGTAACCAAGAGTGTGCAACTCCTATCTCAATCCGTGATGGGTTCACCCGCGGCGGAATTTTTTCATTGTGTCATTCTTTGACAGAAGTATGATCAAGTGCGTATGCTTTCCCGAGCTTGTTTTGTAGATAAGGTTACAGTTCATCAGGTTCAGGACACATCGATCTACCGTCCGTTGTTCCGCTTTGGCTACCGTAGCTGCGATGTACAAATTCTTTTTTCTTTGATCTCTAGCTATGCATGATGGCAACAGCTAAACGCTGATGTCTTTAAAAACATTCCGCTAGGGGATCGTTGAGTTGCACACTCTTGGTTGTAACTTAGAGTGCATTCTTTTATCCTCTGCCAAATCTGGCAGAATCTCCACAATTTGGAGGAGCGTTCACTCATCCTCTACCAAAAGCAGCAGACTCTGCCAAGCTCTGCTTGCTCTTCCAGCTCTTGAGATGGAAGAAAGTGGAAGATTCCCGCGTTTTGTCACTTGCGCTTGCACAAAAGTGACTTTGGGTCTTCTTTTTGGCAAAAACCCTAAGGGTGCGTTCTTTTATCCTCTGCCAAATCTGGCAGAATCTCCAAAATTTCCTGTTTGCCATGACGCGCTGGAAAATATCCTGGATCTCTTCTGACCCGTTCCAAAAAAATATTCTCATCTCTTCTCTTTCTAGCAGACTTTTCAGGAAGAGACAGAAGAATAAAAGAACGCACCCTTATAAGTAATCAGACGTTTTATGCCATCAACATGCTATGTATTGTGCACATGTGTGTGTGGGTTTTTTTTGGGGGGGGGGGGGGAGTACTGACCGTATAAGGACCTTACAATGTTGTAGGTCCTTATACGGTCAGTAGGTCGCCTACCTGGATCTGAGAGAACACGTTTGAGAGCAAGTTCCTACCCCACACCGGTTGCATTATTATACTTTTACAGCACATGTGAGGTAAACCTGAAAGCCTTTGTGCACGGGAAATTTACTATTTTCGCGGAAATTATGTGCTGCATACTGAAATCTTTGACCACTATGTGGTGGGTCTGATCTACTCTTGATCCCACCACTTTAGGAGCTGCATGCCGAGTCGTAATTCGCAAACATTCTCAGGCCCGAATCTGCCAATGCTTGAGAATTGCAAACTGAAAGCTAGCTTTTTTAAAAAGTTTTCCAGTTTACAGGAGGCGCTTTTCATTTAGTCCATTTATTTTCACTGCTTGAATTTCTGTGGCTGTATACACGTATGCTGGTCTATTTTCTCCGTGCAGGGCTTATGTTCGCCATGATGGGCATTGACGCAGCGAAGCTCAAGAGCCTCGTAAAGCCGTTTGTGTTTGGTCTAGGTGTTGAACTTGCACCCATGGTAAGACGACCTCCGTTTTTCCTCGTGTTCAAATGAGGCTAACATCAAGGATACATCTTACTCTTACACACATGCACACACAGTCGTCTTGATTCTAATACTGATACCAAGAGTGCATAAGCAAGAGTATGCAACTGTGGTTATGGCCCTTATGGGTCACTGCGCGGTGCGCTGCCTTCATTACGTAACTTGCCTGCATCACGCTCTGGAAGCATTCACTCAAACCCACAATTTATCGTACAAGTCCATCCGTTGTTGCTCGATTCATTTCAGCACCTACGTGGTCTGTAAATGTTGGCGCGTGAACTCCAGCTCCGTACGAAAGTTCTTTTCAAGCCAGAGGGAAACTGCGGTGTTTGGTTTTCCGCAGTGCGCGGACTGCAGCTGAATGATGTAGTGGAGGCAGCGCGCCGCACATCTGGCCCATAGAAAAGAGATCACAGTTGCATGCTCTTCGGCGGGTCTTTATGGACTCTTGCTGATACTGGTACAGTAACGCCCGCCCTAACCGGACGCCCTTGGTGCAGCGGAAACTGTCCTGATATGACGGGATTCTGCTTGATTCAGGGATGCATGTTCGATCCACAGCACTTTTGTGCATGAAAATGCGTCCGGTCAAGACAGGATTCCGCTTGGTTCAGGGTCCGGCAACAACAGGTTTTGCTGTACTGGCGCCTTATGTGAGGTTTGCAGCGGAGTTGTCCCTGTTGCTTTTTCAATCACTCATCAAATGGCTGTATGGAATGTTTGGAACATACTAGTAATTACTTTTATACATGTATGCTCTGCAGTGTGCAACACCTAGCACTTTCCACACAGTAAAAATCTTCACTACCTGGTTGAATATGTATCACAGTGACTTGGCTGAAAGTGCAAGTGATTGTCTAGGCTACTCCAAGTTTATGTGTGCAGCGCATCTGCACCTGTGCGTACCCCGTGATGTCATCATGGTACACCTGCCTTGTGCATACCCCGTGATGTCATCACTGTACATTTGCCCTATGCATACCCCGTGATGTCATCACTGTACATTTGCCCTGTGCGTACCCCGTGATGCCATCACTGTACATTTGCCCTGTGTTTTTTCTGTTGCTGTGCAGCTGGTCAAAGTGCTCGACTCCATGGATCTGATAAACGGATATCGGATAAGAGAACAGGTGTGTGTGCGCGTGTGTTCATGTGTGTACTGTGTACTGTGTACTGTGTGTTTGTGTGCTTCCTTATGTCTTCAAGAAGCTGCACAGTATACCTAATGCACTCCCCATCCCCAGAATTTCAACTATGCGTGAACCTGTCTGATGCTCAAACCTACTGAAGTAACTGAATGTGAATGCGGATGTGGGCAGTGTGTGAGGCAGCGGTAGAGGTGACAAAAAGAATGGCTGAACTTCTGCGTGCCAGGCTACCTACTTCCGGCGGAATTGAGGCACTAGCCCAGGACAATGGCGATCCTGGGAGTCAAGAATGCTGTGCAAACAAGCTACTGGTATAGCTGTCCAGAAAATTGAAAATGTAGCCGGGTGATTCTTGCCGGGGTCATGGCATTGAAAAGAAGCAAAACAAGAGAAAGAAAAAAAGGATTCTGATTGAAACAAAGGAGAATGGTAGCATGCATATCGTTACATGTAGGCAAGAGTACGTAACCAAGAGTGTGCAACTCGACGGTCCCCCAGCCCACGGCGGAATTTTTTATGACCTCAGTCTTTCGCGGCAATTTGACTTACCTATGCCATCATGCGTAGCCAGAGATCAAAGTACGAAGAATGTGTACATCGCAGCTACGGTAGTCCAAGCAGAACAACTGACGGTAGATCGATGTGTCCGGAACCTGATGAACTCACACTGTATCCACGAAACTTGCGCGGGAAAGCATACGCGCTGCACCATACTTCTGCCAAAGAATGACGCTATTAAAAAATCCACCATGGGTACAAGACCCATGTCAGCTGGAGATAGGAGTTGTACACCCTTGGTGATGATTGTACTCTTGGCGTACATGTAAGTAAAGTGCTGTTGGAGTTGTGGAGAGAAGTGAGGAAATGAAAATAAGCCAAACAGGAATCCCTACTCAGCGCCCTTTTTAAGCGTTTATTGAGTAGTGGTCCCATTTCTCTCATTTTGCATCAGCCGATGACATGCACCATTTAGTATTGTGTTCATTCGTTTGTGTACATGTATTTGTATGTTTTATTATTTTAGTATTGCATCTGGTTTCATGTTTGACGTCCTTGGAGGACTATAATGTATCTACTAGTATGCCGTTTCGGACACGGGGCCATCCGAATATACCGCTTTGTTTTCAAGACGATCTTCGCTCATTTCTCTCCCGTTCATCCATGTGCTTTTTGTTTTCTAGGTGGAGCAAATGATGTCGAATCGTCTTCAAGAGTTTACCCCTCCTAAAGTGAAAGAGGTTAGAGGATGAGTGCTGGTGTCTTTTGCTCGCTGCTCGTGTTTCGTTCCCTGCCACTCTTTTACTCTCTCTCTCCTTTTAGTTGGATAGTAGAAGTCTTGTATTGCAACACTTTGGTCAGTTGCAAGTACATGTACAGGTGGAATCCTGATAATTCGAATATGGCTGAACTGTCCCTCCAGGAAATTGCGATTCCACGGATGCAACAAATTTCGCGATTTTGGCCCAAACCCGCGATTTTCAGCAAAGTCCGCGATTTCCCGCATTTTGTTATTGTTTTCTGCACTATATCTCACATTTTTCTGCACTTTTCACGCAGTTCTTTCCATGATCCTGTAGGTTATTTGCACAGTACGACTCCCGAGCAGATATGATGCAACAAATTTCGTGATTTGGCCCAAATCCGCAATTTTCTGCAAATAATTCCGCGAATTCCTGGCAAGTTCTGCATCATTCCGCACTTTTCGTCGCATTTTTTGTTACTTTCTGCCGCAATTTCTTGTGCAAGTTTTCGAGAGTTTTTTCCGCAAATTCCCGCAGGGACAGGCTTAATTCGACCTACCGCTTAATTAGAAGTTTTTCCAGGACCGATTTCTATCAATACGATTCCCACATAAAAATTTCTGATATTTCGAACCTTGAACTGGATATGTCCGGTAAATTAGAAGTCCCACAGATTCCACTTACATAGAAAATGTGTGGGATTTGTGCTGATAATTCGAAGTTAGCAAAGTGTAATTCGAAGTTCACTGCACATTGTGCTGGTCAGTTCAGTTTGCATGAGCAGGCTGTGCCGGTCAGCTCAGTGTCCGTGAAATATGTGTCTACGGTCCATAGCGCAACTCTGCGTGGCCATTTGAGCATTTTGACATACATATTGTGTTGTGGGTTCATGTTTGGATAATTAGAATGTCCGCATAATTAGAAGTTTTTTCCTGGCATTTTGAGGTTGGAATTATCAGGATTCCACCTGTACATGTGCAGTTACATACAGTCATGATGTACATGTACACGCAGTAGCCACCTTGTGGTTTAAAATGTTGTTCGTTGTTATTTGTTGGGTGTGCTCAGCTGGTGGAGAAAATGATTCGCAAGCACCTGGGTTGGTTGGTGGTATGGGGCAATGCACTCGGCGCTGTGTTTGGCTTGATCACCGAGCTTATATCCATATACGCGTAGAGAGTGCCCAAGACTACCTTGGCTGCACATGGTCACTGGCCAGGCTGGGCTATATGCTCGCCTTGCCCGGATTTCCTGTCCCGAAAGTGGATGTGCTGCTTGAGCGTGAGCTCAAGCCTGATCACAGATCTAATGCCCTTATATGAGTGTGCAAGTTGGAGCTACCACTCACCTAGTACCTACACGTACCTACCTACAGTTGTGGACGGTTTTCTCCCAAATATGGATGAGCTGATCCATTGTCCTCTCGCACACCAAGTGTACACTTACAGCATAGAGGCCACATGCACAGTCTAGTCGAGTCCTGCCAATGGCCATATACACACTGGGCACACATGTACGGCCATGATGCTAATAATTAATATGCTGCTGGCAGTGTGGGCTACAGATGTCTTACTTTATTTTTAGCTGTCATTTCGTTTCACTGGTGGTGTTAAAGTCCCAGCCATGCCTTGTGGCTACATCTGCGTTTATATACGTATTACTGACATTGTTGAGACACGCTTGATCAAAGTCTTTTTTTATCACACAAAATTAGAAAGAGGGTTTTTTACTATAGTATTTACCATTTTCCGGCTGTGCCCAATATTTATCCTGTGTGTTCAAGATACTGCATGCTGAAATGTTGTTGCACTCTTTGGTAGCGTATGTGTTCAATTTTCTTCTAGCTACTTCCAGAACTATGCTGTTACTAGTTAGTGCTGGTGGTCAAAATAATTATGCTATGTATTTTTCTTTTCTCTCCTTTTAGCTTGCTCGTTGCTTTAGAAGCATGCCATCTGCCCCCCCCCCCCCCCCCCTCCTCGGTTTCTTACTGTGCCACGTGCTTCTCTTATAAGTTCCACATTTTAAAATGAAGAGTTTTGGCACCAAATTTGAGAAACTGAGATCCTGGTAACCAGATCAGGTCAAGGAGCACCTTCACAACATGTTATTGTGTCATATCCGAATTGCGAACCGACTCACTTTGAAAACGCCACCCCAATGTAGAAAATGAATCTCTTTCGGATCCCCACCCAGCGACAAGTAGACCCACTTCAAGAATGCCTAAGAGTAGTTTTTTTGGATAAGCGAGGTTCAACAATGGACAGCGAATATGTACCAAGAACAAACTGCAGTAATGTGGCGTATAACAGCAGCTGTACTTGCGGCGGCCGTATAAGCCAGGGTTCAAACCATGCTTCTATTCAAGTCATGCTTCTATTCTAAACATACTTCTACGTCAACGACATCAGTCTGCACTGTGCAGTGCATTCTGCCACGCATGTACTCGCACAATCATGTACTTTGCGGGGAGCGGCTTCTATTCAAACCATGCTTCTGTGTCACGGCGCGCTTCAAAAAATCGGCTTCTATTCAGGTTTCTTTGCTGCAAACATTCAACATGTTTTTGTTTCACCCTACTTCGAATTATACATATACATGTACTATCAAGAGTACATAATTCGACCGGTTATGTACTGCATAGTGACAGTTGCATACTCTTGTTTATGGACTCATGACGTCATGATGCTATCCGGAGTCCATAACCGGGTTAACCTGTTGATGATGTATTGTGTCCCCCCCCCCATCCTGAATAGACCGATCCCCTTATTATACTGGGTTCGAGCACGGGGGCAACCTCACTCGCGATCGAGCTAGTTTTTGAACGTGACAGCATCTTTGACAGTGTGTTTCAGGTTTGTTTTGGAATGTCTTCTGCTTAGTTCAAGTGGTTTGCTATGGCTTCGAGCGGTGCTGAACCTCCTGCTGGTAGGAGCAGAGTCTCCGAGAGACATGTCGACTGTGATGCAGCTGCAGGATTTTTTCAAGGCACGGGAGGGAACGATCTCGGGCCACAAACAGGAGTTACTCCAGAGGTGAGTTTTTTTGTTGTTGAAATATTCGAATCGCGAATCGTGTTGTGAGATTTATTTTGTGCCTAGGCTACAGCAGACCGTATTTCTTTCTCCTTGAGATTGGTGCTGAAGATAATAGTAACCTTTTTTCTGGTCTGCCTTTTCCTCTCCAGAGCCATCTTCTATGAAGGTAACCGTGGTGCTGCCAAGTCATCAAGTCGCGATCGCGATCAGCAGCCCTGAAGTGGAAAAATCGATTTTCCAACGATCTAGTTGGACATCAGCCACTAAAGTACTTCTGATTTGCCTGTAGTGACAACAGCAGCCATCTTTGGACACCTTGCAAAGACAGGAAAAGCCACTGGTGGAAGCGACTATAGCAGTGGTGATCGCTGTTTTGTCAAGTCGAAGGGCTAGCCAACCCAGAGGAAGCAATAAAAAAACCGATGAACAGTGCGTGGTATTTGTTGAGCGTGAAGAGCTAGAGGAGGACAGTGCAAACACATGGAAGGAGTGGATGGTGTTTGATGAACAGTGTGCTGTGTGCCGGCTGGTGGTGATGGTGGTGGTCTTTGTCAGCATGTATTCGTGCTGCTTCTTGTGCTGGAACACTTCTCCCCCAGGAAGGCAGATTGCGTGCTCCCTGGCCCTCAGTCGGCAATGGGGCATTTGTTCCAGGAACATTACCCCAGAGCCAGTGATGAGTCGTACCTTTGGAAAGTCGAAGCTTGCTGTTAATCGCAAGCGTAGCGCAGTGGATTGCTCCCTCTTCGAAGCACGAGGGCCAAAGCTTGCCGCTGTCTGCAGCAAAGTGTGTGTGTGGTTCTTTCGAACCTATGAATATTTCCCCCGCCCCCCCCCCCCCCTCTCTCTCTTAGGAAGACTGCATGTTCCGAGTGAACTATTTTCTAGTATATTTAATGTGAGATGGGCTGTTTACGCCCAAGATGAAGATAGTTTTTTTCCGTTTCTATACCTTCCTAATAAAATACATTGTGACAGAGCTTTCGGTCATACTCCGCTGTACTACATCCTCAACCCGCCACCACCATGCGCTCTTGGCCGAACTAATGCACGAAGCATAAACACACCAGCACAGCAAGGACACTTCCGTTGACAGATATTGTTTACACCTCTAGACAGCTGTTTCGTTTCTTCGAGCTCATCTTCGAGGAGGATAGTAGCAGGATACTAATGATGATATAATATAAGATGATAGACGGTTTATGGTCCGATATTGATGATTGGAGATCTAAGAAAGCAATGACAGTGATTGCGAAAGGGATAATATTTATATCAAGATTATATGCCAGTCTGGTAATGCGTTGTACTGGTGGACAGTATTGAAATCATCAGCATTCGATGCAAATATTGGTATACCTTTGGTTTCAGTATTGGAAAAAAAAGAGTAAGAGAACCTGGTTGATTTGGTTGCATCTGCGACTGGCTACCGGGTGTTGTGATCAGCAATGTTACCATGGGAGAAAATAAGAGCGCAAAGGATCTGTTGGGTCTTGTGCAGTGCCGGTGCGAGAACCCTAAGTGCATGGCAAAATAGAACTGTTTCATCCACAATGCAGAATGTCTTGCGGTACATGGCATTGATGACTGAACATCTCGCCAGCTCGCCCAAATGGGGATCATGCCCAAACGGAGGAACAAGACATCTTTCCAGCTCAGCTAGCTATATACCGTGAAACTGATGATTAACTTGTGCCACGCATGCCAGCTTCTGTTCCATTCGGCCCAGGCTTAGACACATCAATGCCAATAGCAGCTGATCCTCCATTACATGCTCATTGGCGATTTACGGCCACCTCCAACTGTATCCGCCGTCCCTCAGCTTCCGTCTTCGCAGATCTGGCGCGGCGCAGTACATTTTCTCGGCTAGGCTCAAAGAAGTCCCACAGAGCGGTCCAAACACCTGAAGGCAAACCAGTCAGAAACTGGAGCGGCTCAGAGTCTTTCTTTATGTTATTGTACGTAAGCTGTTTTCGGCTTTCTTCACCCCAGTCCTCACATCGTCCGACTGCTCCGCGAGACTCTGTACACGAGCTCTACTTGCTGCCAGTTCCTGATGCAGATGCTGCACTTCCATTACAGGACCAAACTGCACTAAGCCAGGTTCCTTTCCAACTCAAAGTGCCGTTGCCTTTCAGCAAAATACTGGTTTGCGAGCATGGGGAGCTCGTGATGCAGACGCTGCACTTCCATGACCGAACTGCACTAGGCTCAGCAAATACTGTTTTGCGAGCATGGGGAGCAGGGCGTCCAGACTGCACTCTCTTGCGAAAAGCAAACCTGGCACCGTAGGACGGCTGATTGGTTTCCTGGACTCGTCCTGCCCTTGTAGAGCTGGGCAAAACGATTTCGATTTCGGGATCGAAATGATCGCTGCAACTCAAATATTCAGAGTGACCCTAAAACTACGTCCTTCCTCGCGGGGAATAGCCTGGATCCGCTTGCTCCAGGCCGCTGTGGCTCCACACGAGGAAAGGAGTTTGCTTGTTTGCTTCGTCCTCCTGTTCTGACAGTGAGGAACGCAGCAATGATCCTGAGAAGGCATCCTGAAGTCGTAAAAAGGAAGACGTCTAAACAAAAACAAAACAGCTCAAATCAAAAGTCCTTGTGGCATTTTTGTAGACAGGCTTGCACTGCATGTAGATTTCGCGTGCTCTGCACTTCGCATGCGAGAAGTCACGCACAGCTGAGGTGAGGTTGGTCGCGTGTGTGCAGCAGGATCCCACGCGACTGCGGAGTTGCCCCCTTGCTCGAACCCAGACAATAATAAGGGGATCGGTCTATTCCACGGCAACTATTAGTATTAGAAATTAATTCCGTGCAGCATTCTGCAGCTGAAAAAGCCAAATCTGCGACGAGAACATCTGTGCCAATTCCGCAACTTGCATCAAGGAACTTCCAAAATATGTACCAGTATTTGACCACACCCTCCCATGTATGTGGAACCAACCGCAAAATTCACGGGGGTCTGGGAAGGGCTAGCCTCCCCTGGTGCATGGCTTATACCTGCAAGTCAAAATTACCTCCGTCTTTGCTTCCTGATACAAAGTATCACGTTGGAAGTGCGACTTTATTGCACACGGCACAATATCACTAGACAATACAAAAAGTTAGACATGAGTACTAGAATGTACATGTAATGCCAGAAAAGCCTGTCACTCTAGAAGAAAGCGATTACTACATGATTGATGATCATCGGTTCTGACAAGCACAAGGAAGGTGGCACTGTTTTGAAGAAAGTGCATCTGCCAGTGATAGGCCTGTAGTGGAGGTGGGGCAATATGCACGCGTGAAAAAGAAGAAGGAGATGACACGTGCCAAGCTCAGATAGATCTTTTCATGAGAAAATAAGTTTTATGGCAACGTACAAATATTATGGGGCGAATTTCATGAATATGTAGAGGGTGGCTGCTGAGTGATCCGTTCACACAGCCAAGTGGTAATATTAGGTTTAAATCAGGCGTTACGGGCACTATTCACAGCTTATTTGATTCAATACGGCAGCAAGCCAGAAGATGTACAGATAAAAAGAACTATGGACAACAGCAGGACTTCAACAATAAGGTAAAATATAATATAGCTACAACCAGCACCACGCAGTAGTGGTGGAAAGCGATGTGTACAGCTCCTAACGTCAAAAAGACAAAGCTCAGCTGACTACTCTAGCTACGATACATAAATAAGCAGATTGGACCAGGCAGCGCAAAGAAAAAGCAAATGGTGGGTTTCTTACACGTTGGATGAGTCGGTATTTAGAAATCTTCGTCAAGGGTGAACACATGCGAGTCCTTATCATTCGACATGACACCAGCTTTCTGGTACTCACCGACACGCTTCTCAAAGAAATTTGTCTTGCCCTCAAGAGAGATGTTCTCCATGAAGTCGAAAGGATTCTCCTTCTTCCAAATCTGAACCAACACAGCAGACCAAGCAGGAAAGGGGGCTTAGGAACTAACAACGTGAAGAATACTCACAAATTCAAACAAAACATAATTTTCTAGCACGATGACTTGAGAGTAGCCATACATACAGCAAAGAGACAGAATCGAATAGAATGGTGCATACCTTGGGCTGGTCGAGTGCCACAAGGAGACGGTCTGCAACAAACTCGATGTACTGGCTCATGAGGTCACTGTTCATACCGATCAACCGACATGGTAAGGAATCGCACAGGAACTGCAAACAATACACAAACAATGAGAAACCAAACACTAAAACATGGGCCAAGTGCATAAAGGCAGTAGATTGCACAGGAACTGCAAAGAAGACACAACACACACACACAAAAGGATGACATGAGTTGAACCACTGGAAATAACAAACTAACCACTTGGGTCAGGCGCATAAAGGCAGTGGGAACAAGAGTCCGGTCAATGTCATCAACTAAAAGCAAGATGCACACACCAACAGGAGAACTCACTTCTTGCTCGATCGTGACGGCCTCGGTAACAATCTGGGTGATGCGCGCTGGAGACGGCTTGCGCACAAGATGCTTGTACATGAGACAAGCGAAGTCACAGTGGAGACCCTCGTCCCTGCTGATCAGCTCGTTGGAGAATGTGAGACCGGGCATGAGTCCCCTGCACGCACACAAACATGACAATAGCATGGACCACAGGTTCTGAAATAACATGATTGTCATGATGCACGGCCAAAGGAAGGCAAATGATCCATATAATGACATGATACCTCACTCCCTAGAAGAATGCCAGCTCACCTCTTCTTCATCCAGAAGATGGCGGCAAATGATCCTGAGAAGAAGATGCCTTCCACTGCAGCAAACGCAATGACACGCTCGCCGAACGATGCTTCCTGGCTGTTGATCCACTTCAGTGCCCAGTCGGCCTTCTTCTTCACACACGGCACTGTACCAGAACGAGAGGAAAGACACTAAGCAAGAGCAGGCAGACACCGGCATGCCCCCACACCGGACCCATGCAGACTTCTCCGATCTGTACCAAGAGAAGGCAGGTGCTGTGCAATATCCAATGTATATATAGCAGCAAAGAACACACAGATCACAAATAACTCACTGGTCTCAATGGCATTGAAGAGATGGTGCTTCTCTTTGGCATCAGTGACGTAGGTGTCGATGAGCAGACTGTACATTTCCGAGTGGATGTTCTGTAGAACAGCAAGGATGTTGCCAGAGTAGAAAGGCAAATTGGTTGGAATGCTAGAAGAGTGGGGGATCATCAACACAGGAAATCCTGTTCCTGCCAAGCCAGACGAGTGACGTCACAATTACACACTTGATATCCATCAAACACAAGTGTAGCCCAGTACTGGAGCCATGCATACATGTATCATACTCACCTCGATTGCGATCTGAAATCCGTAGAAGCATCTTGCCTCAGTGACTTGTACTTCCTTGCTGAAGCGCTCGACCTACATCGACAAAGATCCAAGAAATCGAGAACGTACATAATCATTGCCATAGTGAGATCTTTACCACGTGCATGTATGGTACGCTACAATGTAGCACAATCACGCAAAAAGCGTGTTCGTGACGATTCCTACGATCGACTTACACACATGGTCATTGTACAAACGGACACTCACCAGATTCTCGTTGACGATGCCATCGCTGGCGGCAAAGAAGGCCAGTACGTGGGAGAGAAAATACCTCTCGTCATCCTGGACATGGAAAGTGACCACAACGTCCAACATGTAAACACAAGTCAGCAATCTTGACATCGCTATGCAGCTGACGTTGTTCTGGTAAATCAAAATTTCGCGCCATTTCGCACACACGATGTAATGGCACCCATTGGCGGTGAACCGTTGAAAGAAACAATATTCTCGGATTGCGTTTATAAGACACTTATCACATCAGGTATATCAGCGCGATCGAACTGAAATTGATTTTTACCTTCAGCTTGTTCCAATCCCCTAGATCCTTTGAGAGATCGACTTCCTCGGCGGTCCAGAATGATGCTAAATTACACGAAGTATAAAAGGGAGAAAGCATTGCTGAAACCTGAACACGCAGAAAAGCCCATACAAGAATCACAATCTACATACCTTCGGCCTTCTTGTAGAACTGCCAGATGTCGTGGTACTGAATGGGAAAAACGACAAATCGGTTCGGGTTCTCTCTGAGGAGTGGCTCATCTTCCTCTCGGAATTCAGGTTCTTCTGTTGGTTTTTCAACAGAGGATCCTTTAGTGACTGACACTTCAACGGGTTCTGGGGCTGGCTTGCTTGCCGTCAACATTGTGCAAGAAGATGGATTGGTGGTCGGCTAAAAAGACAAGAAATGGAGGAGAGAAACGAGGTGCAGCCGGTCTCAAGAACAAACGACGAAGAGTAAACTTTGGCGCTCAAATGAAATCAAAGGACAGCGAGCACGTTTTTCTAATTTCCCGCGACCTGACATATCACCCGGGCGACAGCCAATCATCGCCACCACACTTACAAGACATGCCACCGCTGAAAGGGGATGTCCCCAGTAATATCGGCCCACGTGTACATGAATCACATGACTGTACAGACAAGACTATGTACGTACAATCGCACAATCGCATTAGCACAAGTCATAGTGAGTCAGAGACACACAAGCCTTGCCCTTACTAAGCCTGGCCCTTACGCCTTAGTCTGATGCACCATGTGCACTGACTGAGCATAGCAAGAGTTCATGACTATTGTCAGTGACAGACAGTGTTGAGTGTTGCCTGTTGGGGGTTACGAAATCTTGATGATACCAAGAGTATAATCATAACGCTTATACGCTGGGGGGGGGGGGGGGGGGGGGGATACTCTTGATGATACATGACTGTACACATGTACATGTATGGCTACAAGCGGATGTCAAAATTGCCTGGTGTTGTCGCACGCGTTTCCGACAAATTTGCGTGTGTGTGTGTGTGTGTGCGCGCGCGCGCGCGCGCGTGTGTGTGTGTGTGTGTGTGTGTGTGTGTGTGTGTGTGTGTGTGTGTAGGGATTCACTGGCCAGAAAAAAGCCACTTCATAGCTGTGTGGTGTAGACCAGGCTGAATAGTGGCGGTCAATTCTTCAGCCTTGCAAGCTGTTGAGTGGTACAATCCCAGCACAAGCTGCTCTGGCTTCTGCTGTAGCATCGCTATCATCGCCTCTGGCGATGGGCGTCCAATGGTGTGTGTGTGTGTGTGTGTGTGTGTGTGTGTGTGTGTGTGTGTGTGTGTGTGTGTGTGTGTGTGTGTGTGTGTGTGTAGGTCCGACCCAGCCGGCCGATTTCATGTTGGAGTCGGAGCATCGGCTGAAAAATCGGCCTAGTGAAGAAGATAGACAGAAGTCTTAACCTTCAGACACCGAAATCACATTTCTTCAGCCATACAATCGATAGATACCGTATTTTCCGGTGTGTATAGTCAGTCGTACATCGAACTTTTTCGGCAAACTGACAAAAACTTGTCAAAAGGTCATCGGTACGTACAAGACGTTACCAGTAAAACGGTTGACTCACGAAGCACCACCAAAGTTCTAGCAAAAGTCACCTAGTTTCAAGTGTCCTTTATGACATGTAGAAGCTCATGCCGAAAAGTTGAATTACACCATACATACCGTATTATCTCCAGTATAAGCCCTGGGCTTATTATTTTCTCAACCAGTCCGGACCCTGGGCTTATATTAGAGACTGGGCTTCTACTAGAGACTGGGCTTCTAGAACGTCCGGTGAGATCATCGAGTACACAGTGTGTTTGAAATGCATCGGTATGCGGTGTGCAACCGTGACACTGTTCTTTTGTTCAAAAGTTCCTTGCTTCTCAGTCTCCGTCCTCGGGGAAAAAAGCGGAAGAAAAGCTCAAATTTCGCAGCACAATTTGCGGTCAATATTGGGACGATTTGCGCCAAAATGTGAGAGTTTTTGGTAAACTTGCAAGTGGACTGGCTAATCTACTGTTCACTGCATGCAGAAGCCCCGAGTATAAGTTCATCAGCTTATAATAATGAAAATAAAATTACACTAAAAACTCTGCTAAAAGAGCGTATTTTCGGACATGAAGAAAAACACGAGTGTGGTAGCTGTCTTCTGTTGCACTGCTACTTCGTGTACCGTACACGTAACAGGATGCAGGCACATTGCTGAGAATATACCGCAGCCATAGTAGAGTATATTCAAGAGTACACAACCAAGAGTGTGCAACTCGACGATCTGTCAGTCCACAGCGGAATTCTTTTATGACATCAGTCTTTGGACAATAAAAAACGTACATCGGTCTTTCATAGCCATTTGGCTCACTGATGCCATCATGCATAGTCACTAGTCAGAGATCAAAAATACAAAGAAGTTCTACATTGTAGCTATGCTAGTCGAAGCAGAACAAGGAAAGGTAGATCCATGTGTCCTGAACCTGATGAACTGACACTGTCTCTACAAGACAAGCGCAGAAATGCATGCGCACTTTTTACTTACACTAATTACGTGTGATTAAGTACCTATACTTGATCATATTTCTGTCAAAAATGACACAATAAAAAATTCTGCTGTGGGTGCACTCATCCCAGCATGTAAGGCCACACGTTTTTATTTCTATGTTTCTTGTCACCCGCGCGCATACGATTCAGGAGTCTGGAAGAAAAAAAGAAAAAAACTGTGCTGCAGTGACTGTGCATGTGGGGACCAGCACACTCATGAACATGTACATAATGTGGCCTGGCCTGCGCGACACTTGATGCAAGGATGGCATTTTGTGTGCAATCTAGCTGCACATGCACAGATTGTGACAGAAGCTCCTACCACATACCTGTACTACTAGTAGTTGCTAACTATGGATGCTGTTTTGCATGGTGTATTGGTAGATTTTAGTGTGAACAAAGGTCTAATGAACTTTTTTTATTTTTCGGTCATTTTTTATTTTTTTCCACCTCTCGCATACGTTTTTAGATTTTCAGGTGACGAGAAACATAGAAATAAAAACGTGTGGCCTAATAGTAACACCACTCCTCCTGCAGAACACCTGATCTGACAGGCAATTGATAGGCATTTCCAACAACTAGTAAAACAAGTGGATAACCAGTTGCTGATTAGTGGTCACATCCCATGTCAGGCCCAAATGGCTGGGGATTCGAATGTGTTCGACAGATTCATCCCTAGTCACACTTGTGCCGTTATCAGTATGCACTCATTTTATCAGGAGTCCACCTCCAAGAGCATGCAACCATACAATCAAAGTCATATTATGGGGTCCGGCGAGTCGCAATACCTACACAAGTCAGCCACGAACTGGGAGTCTGCGTGGCCATCGGCGTCATTGTTGATCTGCTATGGTGGAGCTTGCAAGAACATTCTAGCAGAGACTTCAGAAGGATTTAGTGTAAGGCGTTGTGTACTACAGGCATCGACTCCGAGTCCACCGAATCTCACGAGTATCCATGTGAAACCATTTCTCGTTCACTGTACCAAGAAGGAAGATTTAAATCCAGCTGCCCTGATCATCGCTTGACTATAATTGTACTGAAGGCAGCGTGTCATACAGAGCACCCATAGCTCAGAGAGCAAATTTATAGTACATGCAATACCCTTAGGAGGTCATAGACTCTTGGTTTATGAGTCGGAACCTCGCATCTGTATGAGCACCATGATTATACTTGCTGTATTTGTCCGGGGGGGGGGGGGGGGGGGGGGCTCCAGCTCAAACGACACGAGCAACCAACTGCAACCATCTTTCTTACTATTATCGCCGAGGATGCGGCCACTAGCTTGCAGTTCAAAGTATCTTTACTGCTATTACCAAGAGTCCATAACCCCCCAGAGTGTGCAACTCGTGATCCTTCTCAGCACAAGTCAGTGCCGCAACGAAATCCAAACTTCATACGTCATGTAGTGAGTAGCTATGACGAAATGGGAAGTTTGGCCCGGACCTACTTCGCCCGTTTGCCCAATTTGGGGTCTTTCTTTACGAATCCACGGCCACGTAACACGCCTGAAACTGAAAGGCTCAAGTACACAAAGAATTATTTTAGAGTTGTCGAACAGTTTTCTCTTTTGAGTGTCTCTCCGATAAGAGAAGAACAATGGCCACTGTTGAACCTAAAGCAAAGCGCTCCCCATTGTCGCCGGAGTGCAGTGTCTCTGTGGACGATATTCGTCAGTTTTTGCTCGATCTGGGCTCCTCATTTTCTTCTCTCGATTGTCGAGTGTTGGAAATTGTACCAAAATGGGACTGAGGAGCAGGTTGAAGCACATCTACTTCGAAATCGATCGGGTCTTCATGCCGTGTGCCAAGAGCTATTTCCATCAAATCTTGTAAATCTATATCCATGCCTATTCTTGCTATCCTGGAGTCACGAACTCTCCCAATACAAGCTTTTCAGACAACGAGCAGAGAAACTCTCTTCAAATAAAAAAATTCTGTGACTGTGAAATCAAAGCCGTTCTGCTGACACTGCATAGCCCGTGGAGCAAACGTTTTACGTGACACTTCCGTGGCTTGCTTCAACTTTACTTGGAACCCCCGCCGGATGTACCAGATATGCACATGGCCCCATCCGCCCATGCTTGCCCGGGGACCGGATGACGCAATGTTTGGATTTCGTTGCGCCAGACCCCAACCTGGAGTTGCACACTCTGGGGGGTTATGGACTCTTGCTATTACTGATACTATAGTACTGCCGGGTACCATAGAGCAGAGCGCCAAAGAACGAACAGGCTAAGATTTCGCTAAGCACAGCAAACCAATGGCATACATGTGCGCGATTCCTCGACTGTGCATAGACTGTACATGAAAACAAGAACGGCCTAGGCTATGGGGCTCACCCCCCCCCCCCCCCCTTCACCAAGTAGTTTGGCGCCCGGTAGTACTGTAGGTACTGGTTTTCAACCATGCGAAGTTGCGATAGAATTGCTTTGGTTACCAATTGGTCATACCATACAGCAAGGGTATGGGGGACGGGTTATCTGGTTATGCACTCCTACATACAATTATCATGCACAGAGGAAATACGAAACACACGGAATATATTGGCCACGTACCCGTACTGAGGGCTGATGGCATTCACAAGAGGCGCAGGATAACGACATTGCTGTTTGATGAGCTGCAGTACGAAAACAAGGGACAACACTACTGTGTGGATCTGATCTATATGGCGTACACAATAGTATGCAGTAGACACGATTACTGACTGTTCAGAGGAAACTAACTTCGAACAGATAGGCTTAGTATAACCAGTCAGCACGTGGACAATTACAAGTGCACGTGTCGGCGCCTACGCAGGATCGTACGGCTGTCCTGCATGCATGGAGTACAACCAGTACTAAAATGTAGACACAGTACATGTGCCAGAGAATACTCGCCAGACAATATTACCCTATGCCCTGCTGACTTCGTTGTTCCATAAAGTAATTGGTTCTAAGCAATCTAAAACTGCCAAATGCATTTGCATTTTTCAAATTGGACAGCGAGTCCAATACTATAATACCAGACCGTAGAAATACTGCTACTCCACATCTGATGAACTCACTTCTTGTTCTGAATGCGTGATTCGCCTTCCCTTGGCGTTGAACAAAAACAACGCGGATGTCTAGGCCATTGGCTGAAGACAACAGTGGTTTTCGACCTTGTCAGTAGAGTCTTCTGCTTTGCATTTTGCTATTGAATATTGATTATTGTGCAACAAGTAGACCAGGTAGACGTCCTCGTTCCCGAAGTCCTCTGACATCGGTCGATGCTGGAATCGAGTGTGTCGCGAAGCCACCAAGGCGCCTCCGGACCTCTGTCACATGCTCCATCCCACATGACATGATGGCACGTGCACTCGTGCAGTTCGTCGCCCGAGCCCGATACGAGGCCGGCTCGCGAGCAGCTGTGCATGAATTACATGACAGGTACGAAGTAGTCTCCATATGGCCATCTCGATTCTCGACTCGACATGGTCGGCTGCAGTAGGTGACCTACCTTGCAGCTTGGAATCAAGATCACCAGTGTCCCAATCTTTGTAGACTTCGGCAGTTCGGGTCGGTACTGGTACTGGCAGTGGCACCAGGACAGCTACAAATAAGTACAATATAAATGTACATGTACACACGGAAGGTTGGGTGTGGTCCTCGAAAGAGTGCTCAATGCACCGGGGTGCAGAGCTTCATACAAAAGGAATAGAATACGAAGCTTATGTTGGCTGTGACTCCGAGTTTCACGCCTATGGCGATCATTTGCTGTCTGATGATCGCCATAGGCGTGAAACTCGGAGTCACAGCCAACACAAGCTTCGTATTCTATTCCTTTTTTTTCTTCTTTTTTTTAAATGTACATGTACATGGTTGTACTTCAAGTATATTTATAGCATTGCACTCTGGCCCGAGGTTGCGCAGATTACGTTTCTGGGACAGATCCTCAACGTCCAGCTCTGACACTAGTCGAGGAAAAAATTGCGGGTCCCGGCATGACTGGCCTATTCATGAGGGTGAAGCTGAGGAGTATTACATGACATTGTACATGTACTGTATGTGTGCAGCGCATTCTCCACAGGTTCATAACTCAACCTTGGCTGGCTAGCTACCCATGGCAAAGCGAACACTTCAAACACCCAATGTCGCCTTTTCTCTACAGCAAAATTCAGTCAATTATGTAGTACACACTTTCATTGAGATTTGAGAGCATTGAGAAAAGATAATTATACATGTACATGTACCGGTCATAGACTGAATCATAGTAGAATTACACCGGTGAGAGTCCTGCCTCTTATGCTTGGACCGTGGCTCAAAAGGGATGATGTTAAAATTTAATAATTATGATAGTTGTACTCAAGTGACAGCACCGCAATACTAATACCTGTGTTTGACTTTCTAATAATAGGATATTAGGGTTCTAGGCAAAGGGGGGGGGGGGGGGGGGGTAGGGGTAACGGGCGCAGTCCCCCCCCCCCCCCCTACTCTGGTAGTGCACCACCCTATTGGTCTAATGTGTTTCATTTTTTAATGTTTTTTTCCAGTTCACACAACGAAAATGTGGCCACAAGCCAATCGTTCTGGGTGCTCGCTGCGCCCGTACGTTGCATTCGGTGTGACAAGGTAGAACACGGAAAAATATGGGCAAACTGTTGGTTTCCCCTGCCCCCTCCACCCCTTACAGTTTTCCTGGCTAGAACCCTGGGATCTAGGCAAGTGGCCGTAATGGTGCAGGTTGGGCATGTAAAGATGATTTCTAGTCCACATAGCCCAAGGCTATGCTGATAAATATCAATGCCACAATCCAGTAAGTATGCTTGTCTTCGGCTACGCGTACAGCATGCGTGTAGTTACACGACACGGTCTGCTTACAGCATGCCAGCTGCTGATTGAATTCGGCTATGCGTCTGTTGTAGTCGAACACACCCAGCACGTGGCCGTGGAGGTCGTCCTGCTCCCTCCGTTCCCAATAGAAATCATCCATGTTGACCGGCGGATGATTGGCCTTCGTGTCCAGGCTCGTCACATCGAGAATGCGCAGCCACGCTTCTCGTTTGTTCGACGGTCTCTTGGGCTTCATGAGCAACTCCTGGCACTCGTGCACGTAGCTCTGCAACTGCCCTTCCACCGTCGAGAGCCTGACCGACTTTGCTAGCGCATGCGACACCGCCACCTGGTCGTCCACCCACTCGCCGGTGTCGGCGCCTGGAATCTGTTTCATGCCGACACCCAGCACCAATGATTCTCCACGAACAAACGTTTTATTTGACGCCGCCGACACAATGTAGTCCATCTGCTCCACGTCTTCAGCGATGTCTGACTCGTGATAACTAGAGCCTCGCTCTATAGGCCTCAGTAGATCATTGGTCAGTGCTAACACATCAGCAGTGGTATCAATGTCCGGCAAGTCCCATAGAACGGCAGCACCGAATTTGAAGACAAAGATGTTGCGGGCCAAGCCCCTGGGCAGTGCTTCACGAACATGCATGACATGGTTGCGGCAGTCACTGTGAATATCTACCAGGGAGTAGCGATCGGACTGGCGCACCACCGAGGGCAGTAACTTTAGATTGTACGTATCTGCTGTGCAAACACCAGTCATAACAAACTTACTCCGACCCAGCTCCAGCATGCGACGTTTTTTGTTGTGAGCATATCGAGAAGTGGCCGACTTTGTCGATGCCCAGCGTATCATCCAAGTTCCCTGGCACAGAGAACATGGTGCTATCCGTCTTCCACTCAGGAGGGCCCTCCAATGGCCAATCATATCGCCAGTAAAGTGTTCATTGCAAAAGGATGTCGATGACGGAAAAGCAACTTGACTGCACAATGACTGGTATCTCTTCAGAACTAAGAGCAACTGCCTCACTACTTACTTCCAATGCAGTGAGAAATACAAAAACCAAGTGCAACATCAACTTTGGACTACAAGTTTGTGCATGTGTCTTTCACCTTGGCTTGGAACAGAAATGAAAGAAAAAGTATAAATTATTATGTTGAAAACAAGTTTTGAAAAATCGCCTGATTTCCTCCTGCGAGCTGCGTGGGACGCCTTCGCCTCTCACCATGGACACGCCGCCAATCGCGTGATGATCTTTTTATGTACACGTAGATCTACGTCACAGTACGTGCATATGCAGGCGCCGCCGCGCCAGCCAGGCGCTAGGCCAGGCCATGCGCATATGCCGAGTGTGGTGCATGACATGATGCATGCAGTGCACGTGGTGACTGGTGCCGGGGATCGGCAATTAATTCGGCATGCACCACAGAAATCGCATGGCATGGTGCATTTTTGAAAAAAGGGACTGTCTTCATTTCGAAGCACAGCAAAGACAACAACATACATGTAGCAGTTGTTGAAAATACACATCGTATTCAAGTTTGTAGTACGAGTGTAGTCGTCGTCCTCTTCTTGCCATTGTAGTCCAATTATTAGTCATTCCTCTGCTGGTCTTCAAGCAAATCGACCATGTCTGATTCTAAAAGTGTGACTTGCACTGCCCCTGTCAATATTGCTGTCGTGAAATATTGTAAGTTTCGTTCGCATTGGAACACTCAGGCTGAAAGTTCTCGTGTCGACGAATTGGTTTTGTTATATTTATTCGTCAGGGGGAAAGCGAGATGAGAAGCTCATCCTTCCTTTAAATGCTTCTCTCGGATTGACGATGGATATGAATGACGTAAGTGATGAACCCAATTTTCTTTCTTTCTTTGGAGTATGACTGGAATTTATTCTAAAAGGGCAGGAAAAAAGAAGGTGAAAATGAATGTGAGTGATATGCAAAAACCAATACATGTACAGTCGTCGCCAAAAAATCCGGCCAATGCTAATAGTAATGCCATGACCCTACCCCAAGGGTCGGTCAAAAGCCTGCGTTGCGAACAACACCAATTAGGACCGCCACGAAGTGTGAGCAAGACCCAGAATCCCAAGTGCGCGATATACGCACGCCATCACTCAACAGCCCACCAAGAGTTCCATTGCCAAGGACATACCTTGTAGATAGGTCAAGATAAGAGAGGATAGAAGAGATAACAAGATGAGAAGGCAGTGCCGGAGCGAGAGTACGAATGCAACAAGAAAAGGGACTTATATCCGGGAAAGCAGCCAATCAGAACAAACACACTGTACTCACTAGTCATAACGGCTAGTCATAAAGGCGGGATAAGGGAAGGCATAGAACGGTAGAAGCTAGTTTCATAATTAATTGCAATACAGTTTCATAAGAGAGCGCCTTATAAAAGTGGGATTAGAGAAGGTGTGGAACGGTAGAAGATAGATTGCAATACAGTTTCAGAATAGAGCACCAGATTGTTACAGTTTCATAGCAGGTAGCAACAGCGAATGTGTAAGTGCGTTGTTGCTGTTGTTACTTTATTTTACTTCACCAGAATTACAGGCAATAGAATGCCTTCTCACTAGACCAGGTCTAGTTCTCACAAATGATGAAGAATGTTAATGAACGTGCTGAAGCCAATGAAAAACAAGAAATAGAAAAAGATGAGAAAAACTTGTGTTTTATATTTTAGAACTCGGATGTTGAGCCATAAATAAATGTAGAAAGGAAAAACATATGGATACGAGTTAAGAGTAACTCTCCATCACTGTAACTGGATACTATATACAGTCAGAAAGTGCAAAAACTAGACACAAAACTGACAAGAGTACTGAGACATTCGACGTCCTGACACCTAGCTTCAACACATCTCCGTAGCGCTAACCGACAGCCTTCCAACTTGGAAGGTTCAAGGTTATGAAAAGACCAAAGAGGGGAAGGCAAGCGCAACGAAAACGAGCAAAAGCTACAGTCCCAACGGAACAAAGAATGTCGATTGTTACTGGACGATGACGAGACCAGTACAATATTTGACAAAGCGGTCTAACTACAATTCGAAGCAGCAAAGCAGCACACCACCCATCTTGGGTGGGTCATAAATATCAAAGATAAGTAAATAAAGGGGAAGCTTTGCGAAAACGAATTGTACAAGCCGAAAGCCAAACTCCTACAGTACTCCTCATGCATGACATTGTGATGGACTAGTTTACTACAAAACAAGTTGTTTCTCACGACGTACGTTTCGCCGTATGGTTCGTGACGGCTCATCAGGTGTGCAATTTGAAACTCGGATGTTGAGCCATAAATAAATGTAGAAAGGAAAAGGACATATGGATACGAGTTAAGAGTAACTCTCCATCACTGTAACTGGATACTATATACTATATCCAGTCAGAAAGTGCAAAAACTAGGCACAAAACTGACAAGAGTACTGAGACATTCGACGTCCTGACACTTAACTTCAACACATCTCCGTAGCGCTAACCGACAGCCTTCCAACTTGGAAGGTTCAAGGTTATGAAAGACCAAAGAGTTTTTGCACTTTCTGACTGTATATAGTATCCAGTTACAGTGATGGAGAGTTACTCTTAACTCGTATCCATATGTCCTTTTCCTTTCTACATTTATATTTTATGACGGTATTTGTATGTGAGTGACAGTGATTACATGATGAGGGAAAGAAAAGAAAAAAGAAAGAAAGAAAAGGGTAAGGAATAAACGAAGCAGATGTATGAAATAGAAGCAGATGTATGAAATAGAAGTAGAGAAGTTGAGGTATTTGAGGAGAAAAGTCAGTTTGTCGATTAGAGACCAAGCCAAAAGATCAAATGCACATGTCTGACGAATGAGTCAAGACAGAGAAAGCGCGTCAAGAACATCTGGGCACAGCAGGGCTTTGAAACCCAGAATATCTTCATGGCAACGAATATTTGCCGGAAGCCTGTTCCAATACACGCTGCCCACGAATTGCATGGACGCTCAAGATGCTGGTCCACAAACGAATGGAACTTGGAGAAGGCGTGAGACCTGGTCACGTGCACACAGCATGTGCTTTGCTTGCATTGGAGCCAAGGCATCTATGGACAAAAACAACAATCTTCAGCTTAGAATGATGGATTAGTGGGGAAATATTTAATCGAGAAATAAGAGGTGCGGTCGGTGTTTGACGAGGGAGCTGAAACACAGCTCTAACTCCGGCCTTGCTGATCTTTAACAAACGGTCGAGAAGCTGAGCTGTGAGGCTTGGGTGGAATGCTGCTGAAGCATAACATAACTGGCTGTTTATCATACTGGTGTACCAGAGTTTGTAGCAAGTGGTCCCCCACACGACAGTGCATGTCGGAAGACAAAGCGTCCAGAAAAGCGCGAATGAACACGGTGTTGAGAATTGGACCAGGCGCCCCCGGATACGCCTTGGCCACCAAGACCTGGATGGCGTCGCCCAATTCGGTCAGGGTCTCTCCCGTCCGGCGTTTCTGAGCCTGAAGCTCAGTTTGGCATAGCAACTCTTTACCGGAGTCGCCAAATCGAGCATGCAGGGCGCGCGCCATTAATTCTAACCTGCCCCGGGAGTCCGCATCAACAGTATCATTGGGTTGGGCAACCAGGACATAATTGTTTGCCTGCAAGCATGATCTAAAATCGTTGAGGAAGGCCTGGAGATCCTCCCCCCAGGAACCACCGAAAGGTTTCGGCATCAGCCATCTTCCAGGCGCTTCTACAGTAACCTTCGACATGAGGCTACAACTACTATGTACTACAAACGAAACACGAATGGAAAGAAGAAGAACAAATCCTACCCCCGGAGGGAACAGGGACCCGGAGCAGGACTACGTACATACCGTACGACACAAGCAGGCCAAAACTAAACAAATGCCACAACAATGTCTACTAGCATACTAAGATCTGCCGCTATGTCTTACAAACAAATGCCACAACAATGTCTACTAGGATTCTAAAATCTGCAGCTATGTCTTACCTGAATGGCCTCAATGGTGGCGAGCGCGGACGCGCAAAGTAGACGTGCCGAGACATCAACGACAGGTGGAACGCCAAAGAAATCAGGAGCCAGGTGAAAAAAAGAAACCGGAAAGACCACGGACCACAGGACGATCTCAGGGTCGTGGAGAACGATACCACTAGCTGGGTGCCAATTGTCGTCGGGGGGGGGGGGGGGGTTCTTTATGCTCTTTATTCCACTGACGATCGGCTCTTCCGATACCTCTCATGCACGCGTACACCACATACAGAGGACCAAACTCCCTTGCGGAACACCACGCGTACAGCCAACGGAGCAAGACAAGCTGTCCAGCACCCTCACTTGCTGCGACCTGCCACTGAGGTAGTCACAGAGCCAGTGTAGGGGTGCTCCTCCAATGCCTAGGGTAAAGACTATGATTGTAGGTACACGAGGTAATGGCGGTGTAGTGAGTTAGAGTTAACGTACTGCTGTGGTGCTGGCGCGACTCATCAACTTGCCGATCGCTTGTCAGCTGGTGTCGATTCCTCGCCTGCCAGGCTTGCCACGATTGATGCGCTTGGTTGACCTCGGGTCACGACTCCAATACCATCATGGATATCCAATACCATCATGGATATCCAATACCATCATGGATATCACGGACACAGTGTGCTATGGTACGCGTTCACGGCGGTGCTTGCATGCCACCATGTACCAGGGAGTCGTACCCATGCCACCATGTACCAGGGAGTCGTACCCTTGCCACCGAGCGCTTGGCATGGTGGCATGCATGCAATTACTGGTCTTACAGTCCATTCAGAAAAAAAGATGATATCCTAGCTTTTGGCCATAAATGGGTCAAATTTTGAGTTTTCGTCACAATTTTTTTTGGCAATCCCCCATGGAATGCTCTTCCAATTGTGTTTTTGAAGTCTATTTCTCCAAAGAGCAAGCCATAGCAAGAATAGGATTTCGGCCAGGTTTTGCCCCCAAAGCACTGAATTGGGGAAAAACCACGAAAATCCAGGCCGTTCACTCTACTTGCATATCACTACATTTGCGGTTCGAACCCCAGTTGAGGTACCTTTTCTGGACCCTTTTTCAGGTTTCAAATCTCGCGACACTGCACAGTGTACCACAAAATCGCCAAATACGGGAGCTCTCCAGAGCCAGCGCTCGTCTTTTTCTGACTGGATTGTAGTTGCTGAACTAGCACAGCATTGACCAGTCTGCACTGACTGCAATGGAGCACTTCACTGATTGAGCTGGGGAGTGACGCTCGGCAGCGCATGTGCTGTGCACTAGTGGTAGTGCATGCGGCCCATGTACAGCCAGCATAGCATTGGCCGGACTTTTTTGGCAACGACTGTATAATATGTACCCCCCCCCCCCCCCCCCCCCACACACACACACCCACGCCCGCACGCACCCGACACCCACACACCCATGCATGCACGTATACAACCCCAACCTGGTAAGACCAATAATGGCTGGCTGTGCTGCAACGAAAACCTGTGACATTGAAATGGGATTATGTTGTCATGTGATAGAGAGGAGCAATGCCATGCTAATTTCTTGTTAGGTGGGACTTAGGGGTGAAACAGTTCGGGTAAGGAACCGGTTTTGGAACTGCCAGCTGAAAAGAATCGGGTACCCGTTCCGTCAAATTTCGAATCGAAACTCAAAAAAATCTCGTTCTTGTACAAATACATGTACACGTCAAGTCTACTCAAGATTTAAATGTCTTACCTTACGATCACCGCTCTTCCAGAGGGTTCTCCTGGTCATCGTCTTCTTGGCACATGGACTCTCCGATGTCTCGTTCTTGCTCGTAAAAATGTTTTCTAAAAAATATTTGTCACGAACGCATTTTGTCAGTCTGGAGAAAAGAGTGCGTGGAACCGATACCCGAACCATGGGAAACTATGCTGGCATTAGGGTACCCAAACATGAAAAACATGGAACCATGTTCCATGTTTTTTTATATGCATGACCCCATCTTCGGCCTCGCCCTAAATATGCCACTGCTCACTGCTGTGTCTGTGATGGCTGGCATTGGTCTGCATTTTCCATTGCTGTTGTCTGTGCTCATATAGCTCTGTGCAACAACCACAGTGCAAGCAAGCCCTAGCTTCACCGAGGATTGTCTTTGGTTGAACGACTGGTACGCAACATCTTGGCCTGTTTGAACGTGCATGGTCTTCCTAGATACGTACCATACTCATTTCATTAGAAGCTGCTGCTGGCTTTTTGATGCCCCAGCGAAATGGTGTTCGAAGAATAGCACGTGTGAGTGTGAATGTGCCTTTATACACAGATGTTTACACTTTCAAATGGCGTTGATCAGATGTCATTCTGATGATTATTTTGCTGGTGTGTCACGTGTGCGTTTTGATCCTCATTTGAAAGTGTTGGAGCCTGTGTATGCTCACGCCCAGCAGCCTGACCTGTGCAGGCAGAAGCGGAACATTACACCGCTGTACTTGTTCAAGTCACACGTTGCTCCTCTCCGGATACGTAGCGTGTGAACCTATAGTGTTCTGTTGTGTTTTCACTTGGTCGTGTGCTATTCTTCACACCAGCTGGTTTGACACCTTCAGTGGCTTTATCTTTTGCCACCGTGAGCTGCTTCATTCTCTTTAATTATCTACCGGAAGTAGCCACTGTTGAATTCTGCATGGAGAAAAACGTTTCTGTCATGTCATAACCTTTCTGTTATAACGATTTCTGTTGGTTGTGGATTGGTCATGGATTGGACGTAGATTGGTCGTGGAGTGGTTGTGGATTGGTTGTGTTTCTTTCGATAAAATAATGGAGTATATAACGAAACAATTGTTCAATCTGTGTATCAGCTGATCTTCACGAATACATTTGCATACGATTTATTTGTTTCTTTCGGTTGTTGAGTTCCTTGTCGCTTCTGTTGCTTGCACAACCATTGTTGCTGTCGCTGTTCGTGTTGCTGGAATTTTGTTCTCGTATCTGCAGCAAGGAGCCAATCTCAAAGCGATTCAAGGCCTGCCTGGAAAAGGGTGAGTCCGCTTTTGAAGCTTTTCATTGTAGGCGACAGCAAGAGTACATAAGGTTTATGTACTCTTGGCGACAGTTAGGTGCTCTGAATGGTTTGTGGTCACTCTTTACTCACTGGTACTAGGTGTACGGTGTACGTGTACTGCCGAGTTCAGCATCGCTTGTTGGTTGTGAAGAAACAAAGTGCAAATGACATGTAGTTCTGGGCGTAATTAGCGATGCGCATGGAGATGTGACTGTCAGCGCATAGCCAGCAGGCAATTATGCAGCTGCAGAAAGCACCCAGCTGCATCTTGAACGAACTGCAGCGTTTGTTGTTGGCTTTGACCTGCAGCTAAGAGTGTTGCCAGAAAGCATCTGACTGGTGATGAAGCCAAAGCCGCCATCTTGGATTGGCATGTGCACGTGTGCTCACGCAACAACTTTCCGACTGCTGCGGGTCTGGCATCGTCCGCAGCCGGTTATGCATGTTTAGGTAAGCTATGGTGCATTGGAGAGATTTATGTCACGGTTTTCTGTGCGGAGATGTACGTATCACAGCTATCTGTATAGAGGAGATGAGACCAATGGGTTGGAAATATTCATTTTCCACTGCTTGTAGCCAGGTAGAGAAGAGACCAACAATCACTGTGTGCGATTATTGCATTGTGGCTGCTAAATTGCGTGTATTTTTTGGCTGATTCCATTTCGCTATCTGCTGTTTGGAGGGCTACACTATCCATGTGTTGGAGACCCGTTTGTGTATGTAGCAATTGATGGTTATCGGCTATTGGCACAGCCTTGTTTTGGGGTTTGCCGTTTCTCTTTGATGTGTGCAGGCTACAGTTTTGCCCAGTTATACGGTGTTCAGGATGAAGTATCCGTTATTGCTAGGTAAGCCTGGTTTATTTTCGCCTGCATCCATGTGCGCGTTTGTGTGCGTGTGCGCACGCGTGCGTGTGTGCGTGCGTGTGCATGTGTACACTAACAAGAGTCCGTCAACAAGAGTATGTAACTATGGTTACGGTTGACAGTGTGCGGAAGCGGCGGCACACTGCCTTCAGTGCGTAGCTTTCCTGCACCACGCCCTGTACTCATGCACCCCAAATTGAAATCCACAATCTCTCATACCAGCTTACCCAGTTTTGCTTGAGTCGTTCGAATACACATACAAACTCTAAATTTTGGGTGTATGAGCTTCCAGTTCTGTACGAGGCCCACAGTTGGTTTCAAAACACTGGGAAAGTGTGGTGTTTGGTTATTCCGCAGTGCGCGGACGGTAGCTGCATGATGTAATGAAGGCAGCGCGCCGCGCATCTGGCCCATAGAAAAGAGGTCACAGTTGCATACTGTTGCTTCTGAACTCTACTGCAGTCTGTCATACGTGAGTAACGTGACCCTTCGGCCTTGTTCTTGCAAGTTCCGAAAGCACAGTAAATACAGTGGAACAGCTGTCTAAGACGACCGCTCGAGGAACCTTAGAAACATGGTCTCTGTGTACAGGTGGTCTCCTTACCCAGGGTCTTTTGACTGGAAATAACATCCTTTGACCGTAGTTGCAATGGTCGTCCGGCAGAGGTGCTCATCTTGGCAGAGTAGGTTTTACTCTGCATGTATTTCTTTTCTTCTCTCCGTGTTGCATTTCAGACTGGGTTCGGGTAGTGCATGTCGCAGCACTGCGGGAGGATTTGTGCTCTGGACGATGGGAGAGCGCGAAGATGGCGATGACAGTGTGGCTGTTGAAGTGAGTTACTGCTACAGTTTCTGTTCTACTTTTTATGCATTTTGCTCGCCACCTGTCCATCCGATGCCCTTTGAAAAGTACTTGTAATATTTTGTTAGTGTCCGAAGGATAAGTAGACTCATGATTGCAACTACTGTAGTGTCGCGTATAAAAGCATGACCTGTATAGAAGCATGACTCGAATAGAAGCCGATTTTCCAAAGCGTGCCATGACACAGAAGCACGATTTGAATAGAAGCACATGTACTTGCACACTACATGTGTGACAATGTACACTGTACAGTGTAGACTGAAGATGTTGGCGTAGAAGCATAACTTGAGTAGAAGCACGGTTTGAACCCCGGCTTATACGACCGTAAAGACCTGATTTTTATACGCGACATTACGGTATATGCTATAGTAGCAGCTGTGTGTTTGCACGTGTGTGTCTGCGTTCATGTGTTCATTAGTGCCTGTCCTTCGAAGTATTTGCTTAATGTACGATTGGTGCTGTGTTGTTGGTAGGTCTCCCCAGCGAGTGCCTGGCCTGACCTGGAAGTTCTTATCCTGGTGGTAAGTTTGGGCTTTCTGTGTGTGTGTGTGTGTGTGTGTGTGTGTGTCTCTCTCTCTCTCTCTCTCTCTCTCTCTCTCTCTCTCTCTCTCTCTCTCTCTCTCTCTCTCTCTCTCTCTCTCTCTCTCTCTCTCTCTCTCTCTCTCTCTCACACACACACACACACACACACACACACACACACACACACACACACACACACACACACACACACACACACACACACACACACACACATGTATGCACACTATGTGTGCCATTGCCGTGTCTGAAGAGTGCATTCTCATGCTGTTGCTATCGGTATGATGATTAGCATGCTGCTTGTTGCGCTCTTATATGTGTTGTTGTTGTCGTCGTCGTCGCCGTTGTTGTTGTTGTTTTTGTTTTTTTGAATTCTTTATTCTCACGATGGCACCATCGCCAGTAAGAGGTTGTTGTTGTTGTTGTTGTTGTTGTTGTTGTTGTTGTTGTTGTTGTTGTTGTTGTTGTTGTTGTTGTTGTTGTTGTTGTTGTTGTTGTTGTTGTTGTTGTTTCAAATCTTTATTCTCACGATAGCCAGTGCGTTGTTGTTGTTGTTTGAAATCTTTTATTCTCACGATGGCCTGTTGTTGTTGTTGTTGTTGTTGTTGTTGTTGTTGTTGTTGTTGTTGTTGTTGTTGTTGTTGTTGTTGTTGTTGTTGTTGTTGTTGTTGTTGTTGTTGTTGTTGTTGTTGTTGTTGTTGTTGTTGTTGTTGTTGTTGTTGTTGTTGTTCTTGTCAGGTGAATGATCGCCGCAAGGACACCAGCAGCACGGCGGGCATGCAGACCAGTGTTCAGACAAGTCAACTGCTCAAGGTCAGTAGCAGCAGCAGCATCCTGTCTGTAGCTGTTGATCATGCTCTTGCGCTTCAGCAGCACCACATAAACTGGTGTGAGAAAAGCAAAATTGTTCGCCGAAATCTGTACTACCGTTTGTGTGTACCAGTGCATGTAATAAAGGTCCTAATTCAATGTCACCAAAGGGAAGTTTACACCGGCTCAGTTTTCACCCCAAGGATGGGCCATGCATAAAGTTCCGGTGGAAGTAAAACACTCGAACTGAACCCCGTACTAACGGGCTGGACTAGAGGTCAAGCACTCAACCTTGGAAGTTGAATGGAAAAGAGCATGGGATGTGATTGCAGAGACTGTGCAATGTGTGAATGGCTGATTGGAGTTTGTGAATTCTTTGGAGAGCCAGAGTACTGTATCTCCGCCGGCTTTTCTAAATTCTTACTTTGCTTCGTTGTGCTGTGCTGTGTCATGCTTGGTGTTTTGCACTATGTACAGCATCGCGCTGCTGTCCTAGTTCCCGATCTGCTGCGGGGAATGGAGGAAGCGATCCACAACAAGGACTTTGCCACGTTTGCAGACTTGACCATGAAGGTTAGGCTCTTTGCGATCTGCTTTGTCACACGCTTACTCTCGTAGTGCAGGCTGCATTGATGCATGCCCCGTGTGCCCTATGCGTAGTGTCAGTTTGTTGTAGTGATGCTGTGTCCCGTGGGTACGCACCAGTGATGTTCGTACTGCTCTGGAAGTACGTGTAGTTGTGCCGTTAGCAGTTCTACGACTACAGTCAACTTCGCTAATAACGACTGCGGATATAACGACAATTCGCGAATAACGACAGGATTTCCGTGCCCAGAGCAAAGTCCCATCTAACTGTATACATTTAACTTCGGATATAACGACTATCTGAATAACGACAATTCGCGAATAGCGACATGATTTTAGTGCCCCAAGGTCATATTCACTGCTTGAATAACGACTTTCTGGGCTTTTGACAGCTATTTGACAGCTATTTGACAGCTATTTGACAGCTATTTCAAGTACCTGTCATACAGAAGTACCAGAACCCAAGGCACACATGCAAGATCAGATCAGAAGCCGCCAAGGGCAAGGGGAGAGGGGGCTTTTTATTTATTTTTATTTTGCTTCAAAATAGTCGGAGTGATCAGCACAACTGCAATCATGTGCATGTAACTGTACATGATTGTACAGTATTCATCATACATGTATTGTACATGTCCTGTAGATGGCTCCAAAAGGCTAATTTTTCAATCTAATTCCCTTTCATATTGACTTTATAGTTCCCTTCAATTGTAATATGAAAATATAGTGCACATTGACATAGAGCATGAAAAGAGCTCCATTTTGATATGCATGTCATACTATACAAAATTCGAGTTCACATACATTCAAATGGGACTTCGGGTATAAGGACACTTCGCGAATAAGGACATTTTTCTGATGCCCCACCGAGTGTCGTTATTCGCGAAGTTGACTGTACTGTAATTGTTCCTCTTTGTATCCCATGTGACTGTTGCCATAGTTCAAGCCAATCATTGATCATGCCGAGTGTGCAGT